GCAGGGTGACATACTGTCTCTTCCAGTCACACTGAAACTTAATCCCAGGGTAAAAGGGTGGTGATTAATAATTCAGACCTTCTTGTGACTATTCTGTTTTATTTCTGGCCTTACAAATTATTGCTGGATCTGGATCCATAGCAGAGAGGAAAAGTGAGACACTGATGCAGACAAAAAGTTCCAAGGACACAAGAGCGTAAAAAGACTGTCAGTCAGCGGCAAGCTGTACGCAGAAAACTGTGCAGCTCCTAGCTGACAGTCCTGACTGTAATGATAAGGTTTTACAGGGCTAGAGTTATTCCTTCTGCAAAAACCCTTATTAAAACATGAATTGAGTAGAAATGCACATCCTGAACCGCACAGTCCAGAATTCCAATATCCTCCTATGTTAAAACAATCATCGATTCAGCCTCAAGTGTTATATCTGACAACACTCAATAATGTCTATATCAGTGAGACTGACAACACGGGGACACCCAATACTGAGTCAGGTTTCAATCCCCTCTGGCCCAGTCAGCATCACTGGTCTGTCACATAGAGCTGAGCAGGCCCGAACGCCGCCACATTAATAGAGAACACCATAGTGTTAGTTCATCACTGTAATAGGGGCCGACAGGGCCGGCAGCCCAGGGCCCGAACGGGGCTGGAGCTGACTCATCTTGACCCTGATGCAAGGCAACAGTTGACAGCCAAAATAGCAACTCTGTGTTTTTCAGAATCCACTGTCATTATGCTCCTTGCTGTTTTGAGCCTGGGCAGAGGCATGGGCAAAACAACCCATCTGACAACAGATGAATCAACTCTTTTGCATGCTGTCATGTCAAGACAAATCTTCTAAATAGCACCAACGCACAGCTCCATGTTCACAGTGACCCATTGCTCCATCACCAAGACCCCTGTGTCCACTGACAACTTGAAAATGAAACCTGGTACATGCTCCCAAAAACACACCACGCTGTCTGGTAGCACAAGCCCCAGCGCGCTCAGAGTATTGTAGATCTCACCTACAGCAGCAGTGAAAGCAGAGGGAATATTTGCTCCTGTAGCTTTACCAGTGATCAGATAACTTCAGTCATGAAGCAAACACCGGTTGTAGGTTAAAAAAAACTGTTAAACTATTGCAGATTGAAAATGGTTAAACTGCCTGATTCCTTAATTTCTCCAACAGCAAAGCGTTTTCCAGCGCGAAGGACGAGTGAGGGTGTTTCCGCAGTTTCCAGAGTATAAAAAGTCCTGTTTTACCGCTCGCTTTATAAATGCTGCAAAAAAAACGTGGTTGCTCAACGATTACACCGGGAAAGGAAAGGGAAAATCCAAAGCCTGACTTGTGCGTAAAAAGAAACGGGGGGCCAACAGAGACGGAGCAAGTTTCGATTTCATTTCTCACGAAAAGTTAGGTTTCTATTGTCGGTCACGTGACCCACAGAAGGCAGACAGACGGACAAAGCTAGAAAAGACTGTCAATAAAGTATTAGAAGAAGAAAAAAAAAAAAGAAGTACTTAAACCTCTTCTGCTCCACGTTTCAAAAGCGGCCCGACTCAAACAATCAGTGTTGCCTGTGAAGGACATCCTCTGTTGAAGGCATGCTGCATACAGTTCACTGTGGCAGAGGAGACAGCACAAGGCTCGGATCAGATTCTCTCATTAAGAATAAAACGGAGGAGGGAGAAGGATGGAGACGAGGGGGTAGTAACGGAATACATTTTGGGGGAGATACAAATATCACAGCAAAACCCTGAGATCTTGGAACTGGATGGAGAAGATAACGCAAGAGTACTATGAGGTGAAGGTCACTACTGGAGCACACGAGTAGCACAGACACAGGTTGTGCTTGAAATAATAATGTAACCAGTTTGCACACGTGGATCTAGCAACACGGACTGAAAGGCACATGGTTTATCTAACTAACTATAGCTGTAGTGAGTTCCCACCGTTTGTTTCAGTAATTACACTAACCCCCCCCAAAAAAGTTCATTTAACTCCATCTCAAATCTGTGTCACATTTCACTCAATTACAAATGTGTTGAGATGTGTTTAAAATTCACATTTTCTTCACAAAGCACACATGTACCAATCTGCATTACATAACACTGGATACATACTGTTAATATTACCACAACTAGTCAGCCATGTAGCCTTAGGATCTGCATAAAAACAGTCGTTAACTTAATCTGGACGACATAAACTCGTACTATGATAAAAGTTTGACAGGATACACGAAAATAAAAAAAAAAACACCTAGAAATTCTGAAAACACTGATCATTTCTCCTGAACACACCTTTCCTTGTACAAGTTACATACACAACCTGACACTTTGAATCAATTCATCACCGAGGGATTATGTGAGTCGGAAGAAACGGAAACATTTCCAACTAGGGGTTATTTTAGGAGGGTTATCTACATGCAGGGAAACGGGTGAAAGTCCTCGCTGTCATCATTTGCTTTAACTTGACACAGACTTGGAAGGAAACCAACACAAGTGCGGGGTTTACTCTTTAAAAGCGCATTGAGCTATACGGCTAACTCCCAACAGCGACCGATTTAACGGGACGCTCAAACCTCATCAAACCCAACACACGTGCTCGGCTCTGTTAACTTTGTGAGTGTGTCCCGGTGCGGCCACATTTAAAGGACAACATGTGCAGCTAGCGGGCGAGCTAACGGGACGTCGTTCCTCCTCCAGCTCCCGTTAGCTCGCCCGCTAACGTTAGCTCCTCTACAGCAGTAACACCGCACTGGCTCTGCACCATTTCCCACTACAGCCTGCAGCACAGCCCGTTCCTCGGTCTGCTAACACATAAACACACACTGCTGCTGCTGCTGCTGCTGCTGCTGCTGCTCCTCCTCACAACGCTTTAAAGAGCCGCAGTCGCTTTGGCTGGTTACCTGAACTCGGGGTTGTTCGGCCTCGGTGGGCTCGTGTTGCTGTGCAGTGTTTTAATGCGGTGATGATTAAAAAAAAAAAAAAACCC